ACAGTTGCAGGACGACACAGGTGGGTATTGAATTATAATTCAACACTGACAATAGTAATTTCCACATAATTCACCCCTTAAATATGTCTTGTGGGAAATGAAAAAACATACGATTTAGCCAAATTTGTTTTTTATTAACTCCAGAAGACCCTTGTTGCCTGTGGGTAATATATAGTTTGATCAGACTTCATTTGAATCCGATTTCATGTAAATCGTTAGTTATTTGCATGAAAAACGATGAAAATATATATAATTTTGAATTTGAAAAAACCCCAATCAGAACCGATGTCAATAAAAATATGTCGGATAATAAATTCTACCTGCATTGTCTTGGTCATTGATACTATCGGAACATTCCCTTTGGCATTTCCCTTCAAATAATATTCAACATCGTAATATTTTTAACACATCTAGTTTATATAAAGAGTTTTCGGGTTCCAAAAGGAATTAACATTTTGAAACTTCGGACGATTTGGATATATATTTTGATCCAAAATTTTCACGTTGTAATATTTTCACCAAACCTTTGAACCCTGAATTTTTTTCCGTAATCATAGAACAAATTTCTGTTCACAGATATAATGCAACTATCCTAGATAGGATATGGACAAAATTTGACATCGCTACATCCTTGGGGGATAGAGTACATTCTTTCTAAAAAAACCAAAATGCAAAATCGACGAAAAATCATTTTAAATTGTTCTCTATATTCTGTTTTACAACAATCAAAAATAATTCTGATGGCAGAATTCGTACATTTCGAAAGCGAAGCGATTTAACCCTCTGATCGCCGATTTTTTTTCTGTGACTATAGACCTATTTTCTGGGCAGAGATTCACTATTCTAAATGGGGTGTGAATAAAATTCTTAATAGGATATGAATAAAAATTCGTTCTATTGTCACGAAAAAATCGGTGCTGCAAGGGTTAAACATTTGAGGTAAACTGGACCTTTGTCCCAAAAGACGGCACACCAAATCACACATTTCCGAAAGGCTACAGACCGATTAGACTATCTCCCAATCTACTAAAACACTAGAGAGGGTGCAGGACCTCGAAATAAGACAATCGTTAGAATTTTCAGCATGCCTAAATGAAAGGCAGATCAGTTTGAAGCGTCAGTCCAAGCTAATTTTTACCATGAACCAATACACGCCACGCGAGCGCTCTGAAATAGTTGAAATTTACATTCAACAGAAGAAGTCAATTGTGAAAACTCAACGTGCTTTTAAAACATTAAAAACATGTGAGAAGTGCTCCTTCTAAGAACACCATTAAGCGCTTATACGAAAAATTTTCGACTGGTAAGAGGCCATATAAAAGGCGACCAAGGCGATCGGCCGAGAATATCGCTGCCGTACGAGCCAGTGTTGAGAGGTCCCCAAGAACATCCCAAAAACGCCGTTCTCAGCAGTTGGGCATGGCTCGGTCCCCGGACGGATTATTCGCATTGATTTGCATTTGTTCCCGTCAAAAATCAATTGACGCAAAGAATGTAGCCTGCGGACAAGCCTCGTCGATTGGAATGGCCCAAATGACGAATGACGAGCAATTTTTGAACAAAATGATCATGTCCGATTAAGCCCATTTCACATTGAATGGGACCGTAAATAAGCAGAATTGCCGTTTTTACGCCACTGAAAATCCTCAGGAGATTCAAGAAGTGCCTCTTCATGACGAAAAAGTCACAGTTTGGTGCGGCGCTAGTGCGAAAACAGTCATTGGGCCGTTTTTCTTCCAAAATGAAAATGGCCATGCTGTTACCATCAATCAGGAGCGTTATCGCGACATGATTACCAATTTTGTGATGCCAATTATTCGTCGAAAGCATATGAGGCAGTTCTGGTTTCAACAAGACGGCGCTCCACCGCACACAAGTCACAAGTCGTCGTTATACCATCCGTCTAAAACGACATCTAGTGAGAAAAGTTGGTACAATTTCAGAATAAGATCGGTTTTAACCCTAAAATTATTGACCTTTAAATTAGTATCATTTATATTATTGCATGTACTCGGATGTGGGATTTATAGGTAAATATTTACATTTATTAAACTAGAAGGCGGATATTTTTGAAGTTAAAGCTAATTTTTGAGATTTGGTCCATTCTGAGACTTATACACTAAAGCCCCGACATGCGTCTTTTCAAATTGCATCGCTTTTTAAAAACCAGTAAATTTGATTTGTGTCGTTGCAATTTCAAGTTGCGTCGGTCCAATCTACATTGTGGCTTACTATTTATTGCATTTTGGAGTGCCTGATTGAGCATCTTTTCTGTCGTTTAGCATTTTTACAATTTCTAGCGTAAATTTTCACTCGAGGAAAACATCATTCGGAGAAGATGCAAAGTTTAGAAAGAGGAGACGTTGACGTCTAATCGATGAAGACGGTGCCAATATCGCAAAAAATTGCCCCGGTACGGAATATAGTTACCAATATATGTCCACATTTGAATATATAAAAATACCGTTATGTATTGTAATATCAATGTATGTACAGATTTTTGACATATAAAGATATCGATATTGTCGGCATTTTGATGATTTTACTCTCATTATCCCATTGAAGTGGCTGTAAGGTAGCATTCCAGTATCTTGGAGGGCAAAACACATATTTGCAGGAAATGTTGTATATACTTACAAGGTTTACCTCATTTTCTGAAATTTTGAATGTCTCCGCAATGGCTAAAAAAAGGATGGTTCGCCGGACGACGTTTTTGCTTATTTTTGACATCTATGTACAGTGACTTTTCAATTGACCTGTATAGCAAAGGTCCACATTTATCTGGGTAGTCTGCTATGTAGACATATCAGTGTCTATAGTACCACGCAATTAAAAAATACGTATGCCTTGAGACGATCATTGTCAGCCAATGTAGAACCTCTAACTTATTTTTCAGTGTATTCGCTTACAAATTGAAGTTCATTCAAGTGTAATGACCGACAGCCACCTTTACGCAAAAAATCCCAAAACAAATCTCCCTCCTCGCTATCACATCACCCCATCCAAAAATATTCCACCCAAAAATGAAACACAACAGAGTTTTTTTTTTTAATTTTTTGACAAGACAAAAAATGTCAACACTTTCGCTTGCTGTGAGAGAAGTGCTGATTTTTTGCAATTTTTTATTGAGGTTTGTTTTGCAAATTACTTTTGCATTTTTTGTTGTTTTGTTTTTTGTTTTCTTTCAATCTTATGGCACTTTATGTCAATAACTTATAAAACAATAATAATTACAAAAAATATATATAAAAAATAATAATAATAATTAATTAAAAATTAAGACAAGACTACGAGAGAAAAACAATGAGATTACAAAAGGGGGAGGGGCGGGCGAGGAAATACTCTTACAAACTAAACCTTTTTACAAATTATTTGAATTAGAGGGCGGGTAGAGGAGGCGTACAGAGACCTATATTTTTATGAGTCTTATTATTATGTGGTTGTATGTATGTAGGTGTGTGTAAGTATAACATTTAAATTTTACAAGGAATTTTTATTTTGTACATTAATTTTGTAGTAATTTTAAAAATTATTGTCATAATTGTTGTTGTTTTTTTGTTTTTGTTGTTTGTTTCTTCTTCGAGAGCGATAATTTATTTATTTATTATTTACTTATTGTCTTTTGTGTTTTCTTTTGAAGAAGCCATCAAAGAAAATTTAGTTAATTTTTGACAAAGCTTTAACAGTAACTTCTTGTTATGTTTGTAGTAGTAGTTGTTGTATTTGTTTTATAATTATAAATTAAGCTTAAATTGTTTTGTTTTTGTTTTATTTGATTTTTTTTAGAAAAAGCAAAATCACATTTAAATAAATTGTTTGTTTGTTGTTTTTGTTAATATCATTATTATCATCATTTGTTGTGTGTTTTTTTTTTAGCTTATATATAATTAATTTTTTGAGCTTTAGGAATTAATTGAAAGCTTTTATGAAGAAGGGAATTTTAAAGAGCTTTAAAAGCTATATAAATTTAATTTTTCTCAAAACGAAATTTCAATATTTTTGATTTGATTTTTTTCTTTTCCAAAATTCACGAGGAAAAGCTTTCTCTCCTTTTAGTAAAAAAACTTTCAAAAAATGTTATATATTTTTTATAAATTCAGTCAAATAAAAACAAATTATTTTCTAGGTATTTTAATGTAAATCAACTAAAATTGTGAGAAATTATCAAAAGCTTTTAAGACAAGTGGTTTCAAAACTGCTTTAAGAGCTTTAAAAACTATTTTTTTTTCAAAATTAAATCAATATTTTTTCCAGTTATATTATTTTTTTTATTTCCTGGGAAATTATAAAAAGCTTTTACGGCCAACGATTTGTAGACAAAATTTAAAGGATGCAGCTTTCAAGCCAAACCCACGATCTCTTAGTTCCAAAAATTGTTTGCTTTAAATTCCAAAGATTTCAAAAATATTATCTCAACTTTTCATTTAATGTATTTTAAAATAACTTTCAAAGCTTTTTAGGTAGGAACGTCGCTCCTTGCTTTAAAAGCTTTCAGTTATTTTTTATCCATTGCTCATATTTATTTAAAAAAATTCTTTATTAAATTTTAATTAACTTCTGGGCTTTTGTTTGAAATTGTTGAAAGCTCTTAAAAGCTGAGCTTAATAGTAAGATTTAAACTTGTTTTCAAACATACAGGACTTAAACTGAATTTTAATTTTACGAGGTTAGTATGTTAAAGAGCTTTCAAAGCTTTCCAAAAGCTTTTTCCTCGTTTTAAAATTTGTTTCCTCATTCTAAAAGCTTTTATAAAATCCTCTCTAAATAAATTCCAATTAATCAACAATATAGATTATTTGGAATTTTGATTTTCGACTAAAACTTTTTGAAAAAGCTTTTTTCCTCACTTCAGAAAAGCTTTCAATCAATTTTACATTTCAGTCCAAAGAAAATAACTTATTTTCTTATTATTGTTGTTGTTTTTGTTTATTTTTAATAAGGAAACCTAAATAAATTCAGACTCTTTTTTATTTGAAAATATTTTTGTTGTTGTCGGGAATTTACTTCTCTCCATCTTCTTTCTTTTTGCGTATCTTCCCCTCTGTTTGTATGGTGGCCGTAACGGCATCAAAGCAATCTGCAATTGATGGCTCCGATTGATCTGAACTGTAATCATAACCAGCCATACGTGACAGGGTCAAAATATAGGAACAGGCCACTCTCAGCACTGAGAGCTTTGAGAGCTTTTGATTATTGGAGTAGGAGGGTACAGCTTGTCTTAGAGTTTCATAGGCCGCTGAAATGGTATGGACGCGAGATCTCTCTCGGGCATTCGCCTCAATACGTCTTTCACGTGTCATATTTTTGTAATTCCTCTGTTGGGGTTTCGATGAGGAGCACGACGATGAGGAAGTGTTTTTTGAGGTGGCATTCAATGAGGTATTCAGCGAGGAGCTATCTTCATGCGACGATGTTAGGGATAAAGCGGGTGGGGGTACTAAGGTAATGCCACCATTGGCATTGCTGCTGCTTTCATTGCAACGCAGTTTGGGTGAGGATTGTTCCGAGTGTTCCCGTTTCGCGGCAAATCTCTTTTTGGGTGTTAAATTTTTCAGGGAATTTTTCATCACAATATCTTCGTCATCTTCGTTTGGGGTCTCGGGGGATTTTTTGAGCACCAAAGCCAAGGGTTCTTCTTGTTCCTGCGGCAATTCATCACTGAGCTCTTCCTTGGGCAAACGATGCAGTGTCGTAACACCGGGATGACGTACAAAAACCTGTGCAGGATTTGGCATTAATTCATGAGGTAGCACTTGACTAGGATCCCATAAAGCTGTGGCTGGTGGTGATGGTAAGGGAGCGGCGGGAGGTGTCAGTACCACTCCGGAATCCGTGGTCGAGGAATAACGTATACGTTTTTTGAGGGGCCCCGTGGACTGAGAGGCTGATGGAGATCTTTCGGGTTCAGGGACATCACTCACCACCTTGGAAGGTTCGGAACTCTTGCGTTTATTGCGTACCAAGGAGATGGGGGAACATTTCACCTCAACGGAATCATCGGAGGAGTTATCGGCAATGAGGGTTGGACTATTGGGTGCCAGACGCAAATTGTCCATGGAGAAATCATCACCACCTTCGGAACTGCCAGAGCAGAAACCAGCATCGCGATCATTGGAGTGATGGGGTGAACCTAAAAGCAAAAAAATAGAAAAAAAGTTGAATTAGTTAATCATCAAAGAAAAAAATCAATAAAAAATACAAAAGATTTAAAAATGCAAAAATTCAATTCAATTCCGAATTCGTATTAAAATAATTAACATAATCTCAAGACATTTATTAAAAACAAATTTTGTGACATTTCGCCCACGCTTTATCAATGAATTGATGATAGCTATCCGGGCCGGTTTTATTAGCGTACAAAACTCATCTTCATCACCGAAACATTGGAACACTTGGCTAGTAGAGTCTAACAATGGGTTTCGATAATTTTTTGTTTTCAATATCATTAATTTTAAATTTATGAACCGTTTTAATTTTGACTTGAGTTGAGGTTTGAACCTGTCTTAATTAAAAAAAGTCGAAAACAAAAAATAACAACAAAAAACTGTAAGGATTTTTGTATTGACAAGTCAGGCAGTCAGTCACACAGTCTGTCTGGCTGCCACTCTTTGCTTGTGGCTTCAATGCTGGGAAACCGCAAAAACACAAATCAACGAACAAAAAATATTCAAAAAAACAACAACAATAAATATTCGGTTTTAATCAACTGGTTTTATGACCCCTTTTTGGGTGATGAATATTTTTGTTGTTGTTGGTGTTTTTGTCATTCCTCAAAGGTTTACAATTTCACATTTATTCAATTTATTTGTTGTTGTTGCTTTCTTATTTATTTTTTTTTTTTTTTGAGGAATATTTTGTTGACGCACATTTTAAACAAATGAGCTGTTGGGTTCTGAATTGCAGAAATTTGGTTTTTTACTGGGGTGTTGGAAATGTCTTTTTATTGTTGTTGTTAATTTGTAAAAAAAATAAAAACTCTGTGTGCTTTTTTCCTTTCCCGTGCATATTTTTCAAGTTCAACGAAGCCATTAAACTTGTTAACCTTAACAAAATGCATATGGAGAATTTTGGTGTTGTTGTTGTGGTTGTTGCTGCTGTTATTTTTGTTTTATTGCCCTGTTTTCCACCTGAATATACCTTGATTGGCAATATTATGGCATTACTGCCACGTCTAAACAGAAAGAAGAAGAAATTAATACGAAGTTCTGGAAACCTGGTTGAAAAAAAATATTGAAATCAATCCTGCTTTTGTTGCTGTTTCGGATTTTAACCTGACGACATACTTTTTGTTGGGGGCCAATGAATTTTATTTATTTACATAATTTTTGTTGTTGGTATTTTCAAAAATTGCAAACGAAAAAACGAAGCGAATTTTTTTGGGCTTTGAAAGGGTGGAGATTTTTCAATATTGCACAATTTTCAATTTAAAGACTCCAGATTTTTTTGTGTAGAAGTTAGAATTGGATCAGTATTAACAATATTACAAAATAAATCGAAATTTTGAAAATATAAAAATTCCTTTTTAAAAATTAAAAAAATATATAAATTAAATTTTTTTAGGTTAGGACTTTTCATCATTGCTCAATTTTACATTTACAGAGCTCAGATTTTTTGCGTAGAGCATAGAATTGGATCAATATTAGTAATATTATTAAAAACTCCACCCAATCCTTGATATAATTATAAAGTAAAAATGAGCATTTGTTAGGTTAGGATCGGAACGTTTCAGTTTTGTTCAAATTTCATTCTAAATCATTAGATTTCTTTTATTGAGCAAAAAATAAGATCAATATTAATTATATAAAAACAGCAAGATTTTTTTAGCCAACAATACGTCCAATATTAATTTATATTGCTAAAAATTACATTTTTTTTAATTTCCAGGTTTTTAAAATTTTTAGGTTAGGACCGATATTTTTCAGTTTTCCTCAATTTTGATGTTAGAAATACCAGATTCCTTTGTTGAGCAAAAAATAAGACAAATATTTATTATATTACAAAAAATAGTAACATTTTGAAAATATTTTTTTTTTTATTTTAATTTTGAGGTTAGGACCTGGACTTTTCAGCTCTCAGCTCAATTTTCGTGCTAGAAATATCAGATTTCTTTTGTTGAGCAAAAATAAGACCAATATTAATTTCATTACAAAAATTTTTTTTTAAATTTTGAGGTTAGGATCGGGACTTTTCGGCTTTACTCAGTTTTCGTGCAAGAAGCCCCAGAAGCATGCCAGAAACTTCAGATTAGTTTAAATTTTTTTTATTTCCCCACTCGTTCTAAAAAATTTTTGCAATGCATTTCGAAATTATTTTTTTTTTATTCAAAATTATTTAACCCGAAATTCCCCCCAACTGCATTCCAATCGTCATTGCATTAGTTTTTCGTTATTATTGCTGTTATTTTGCACTCGCCGCTCTTGGCAATATGCAATCAATTAAAATGAAAGCAGAAAATGTCAATAATAGCTGGCGCCACAAGTCATTTATTTGAATTTATTTCTTTGAATGCGAAAAAAGTAGAAGAATATTTTTTTTGCCACACCCCCCTCTTCCCCACCAGAATATGCCATAATTAGAATAATAATAAAAAATCGAAATCTTTTTTGTTGTTGTGAACTTTTTAATATTTATGGCAAATTAAATGGACGGAAGCAAAGGAATTTTTTTGCTTCCATTCGTGGTTTGCTGCCCCGCATTGGAATGGAAAATTATTATTTGTTATTTCTAAGTGGCCGTCAATTTTTTGGATCGCGGTTCATTCATAAAATGGAACACATGTGGTGAAGGTGGTGATAAGAAGATTTAGTAGAATTTCCTAAAATTAAAAATATATATATACAACAACAAGAACAAGAAAAAAAATAAATAAATAATAATAAATAGAAACTGAATATTCAAAAAATAGAATCAAATGATGATGATGTGATGTTAACAGCATGCGTTCACAGCTGATGATGATAACCTTTTTTTGTGGAGGGTGGAGGAGTGATTTTGAGGTCATTGGAATAGTGTACGAGTGATAGTAAAAAATCGGGGAATAGTAACAAAAAAAATGAAATTTATTTTAAATACGCATTAAATTTTTAAGAAGAAAAAAAACTTGTAGATTAAATTCAAAGTCCAGGGAAACAGAAGTGAGTGTGGGAACATCAGGAGTCAAGAGGTTACAATGGAACACATGTCTTACAAAAAGAAAAAAAATCAGGAGATTAACTAAAAACCTCAAAATCGAAAGGGAAAGTTTTGTTTGTGATTTCATAAAAGAAAAAAAATTGTATTTATTAAATAAAGCAGGTAGCCAAAAAGTGACCTCAAAAAATTCTATACCCCCTAATACAATAAGACCTTTAATTAAAGATCCCGAATTTTTTCTTAACACTCTTCTCCAACCCCTAAGAAATAAAAAAATATTTTTGAAAAAAAATCCTAGAAAAACCACCTGCTTATTAGAAAACCTTTTTCTATAACAATAATTACCAAGCCTCCTCCCTTTCTGGACAGGAAATGAATAGCAGCGGTTAGGGGTTGATTGCATCATTGTAAAGATCAATGGATGCTGCTGTCGCCCCTGTTGCTACCAATCAAGTGGCAACAAGTGATTATTTTCACATCATCAATATTATTTTTTGTGTGAGTGTTGTTGTGTGTATTACGTGACTTGATCCCTTACAGGTGTTAAAAAAATAATAATAACAATGACAAAGGTCAACTAATAACGAATTGCTTTCTTATCGTGTTTTCTCCTTAGAATTTGATTGCAATCAGAAGATAACGTGAGAAGATTTTTTGTTTTGAAAAACTACTTTTTTTGAGCGGTAAATTTTGAAATTGACTTCGATTCCCAGGATCTGATTACGTGAAAGAAATGTTTATATTTTTAAATTTCAAAAGAATTTATTGGTTTTAATCAAAATTGTAAGCAGACATCGAAAACACACACACTTTGAACACCTAAACATTCTCTATTTTTTTTTAGGTTAGGACCCGGGACTTTTCTGTTCTGCTCAATTTGCAATTTAGAAGCGCCAGATTTTCTATGTTTAGCAAAGGGTATGGCCAATATTATAAAAAATTTTATGAATTTTTATAAAAATAATAATATTTTTATATAAAAAAAATTAATTTAAAAAAAATAAATTTTTATCAAAAATATTATTAAAATTTTTTGCTCAATTTTCCATCTAGAAAACACACATTTTCTAAACATGTTTAGCAAAGGATATGACCAAGTTTTAAAAATTTATGAATTTTTATAAAAATGATAATATTTTTATATATAAAAAATAAATTAAAAAAAATAAATTTTTATCAAAAAAATTATTTTTAAATTTTTTGAAAAAAAAATTACATTTTTAAAAAATATATTATTTTTTGTAAAAATTATTTTTTTGTGAATAATTAAATTTTTTTTATAAAAATGCATAATATTTTTTTATAAAAAATTAAATTTTTTTTATAAAAATATAATTTTTTTATAAAAAAATAAATTTTTTTTATAACAAATTTAATTTTAATTAATTTTTTTTATATAAATATTTAATATTTTTTATAAAAATTATAAATTTTTATAAAAAATTTTATTTAATTTGTTGAAAAATTAAAATTTTTATAAAAAAAGACATTTAAAAAAAATTATAAAAAAATACATTTTTATAAAAAAAAATAAATTTTTATAAAATATATAGTTTTTTTGAAAATTAATTTTTTGTGAAAATTAATTTTTTATGAAAAATATTTTTTATAATGCATAATATTTTTTATAAAAAATTAAAATTTTTATACAAAAAATGTAATTTTTAAATTCGTATTAAAAAATATTATAAAAAATTATTTAAATATTCAATTTTTTTTTATAAAAATGCACAATATTTTTTATAAAAAATTATTTATTTTATAAAGAAAATTTAATTTATTTAAATTTTTTTGTTAAAAATTTTATAGTTTTTTATAAAAAAAGAATGCTTCTTTACAAAAATGTTTTAGGTCTCCTAAATACACATTATACTATTTTTATTAAAAAAAAGGTTTTTATATTTTTTATTTTATTTTAAATTTTAATTTATTTTTTTAATTTAATATATTTTTTTTGTCCCAACCATTTTTTGTTTTTTTGTCATGCTCACAAGCATG